AAAATACATTTATATTAAAAAACAGATTTCAGGATTTACTGAATCGATATCGCATTATTCAAAATAAAATTGATGAATCAGTAAATCGATTTTTAAAACCCACCCCTAATCATACATGAGAGTAATATTTGACCAAATGATCTAGACCATAGGTGTCAAACTGTGGCCTGCGCCTACTTACATTTGGCCCGCGAAGCCATACCAAATTACTCTCAGAGCTGGCCTACTGGTATTATACAGCTAATATATATATTGTTTAGTATTAACCTTTGCTTGTTCCATATTCAGGTTTTCAGCAAAACATGTTTGAGTCCATAAGAAAAGATTCATTCTTATATCTGGAGGAATAAATATATTTCAATAAATATTAACGTTAGCCCGCGACTTTGTTCCAGTTTTGAGTTTTGGCCCACTGTGTATTTGAGTTTGACACCCCTGGTCTAGACCAAGGGGTACTGACTCTCTGTTTTCCATTAGTAGTTTTAACACTTGGACTTTAACCTAAACTTACTTTACTGTAAGTTACTTTATTTTGGCTAAGATGTTGAGCTGAATATCTGATACTGTGCATTTGTAGGTCTTGCTTTCCATTTCTGTTCTGGTTTATACTTTGGTGTTACATCAAGTGAAGTTACATCACTAGTAACTTCACTTGGATTCAATGAATCTTTAAATGGGTATATGCTAGATAGTTCTGCTAGTTTAGCAGGACATTATAAAAGTGAACAACTAGCAGTACAACAGATTGGCCCTATTTGTGTAACCCTTTAAACTTTGATTCCTTAGAATAATGAGTGTACCCTTTCCCTCCAGTGTCTGTTGTATCTCCCCTGAGTTAACTGTTCACAGAGACAGCACAAATATTTACACATCAGTTTTCACTTTTGAGCTGGGGCTACCAAAGCCACACAGTATGGACATTTCTCAGTGGGCTACTATTAAATCCTGTGCTTCTTCCCAACAGGGTAATGGTGCTTGATGCTGGAAAAATAGTGGAATTTGATTCGCCGAGCAACCTGCTTGAAAATGAAGGTCATTTCTATGCCATGGCAAAAGATGCTGGGATAACATTAGAAAGTAACACAAATTTATAATCTCTACTTATACTGTTTTTTTAGGGAAGATTTAGGGCCACAATTTTCTGTGTATGTGTTTTATTTGTAGGTTTCATTGTGAAGACCTGATTTTACTTTTATGTAAAGAAACTGACATATGTGTCGTATCTATAGGGAACAACATAGGAAAACCATATTGTAAATGTAACGCATTTTATGTGTGAAAAATAAAATTTCTTTCTGAAATCATGCTTAACACACTCTTTTTTTGATACAATGTTATCAGTCTGTTCATCAGGCCTCTGCATCCATTTACATCCATCTATTAAAACTGGCTTTGGAATGGATAAAACAGGCTAATATTAGGCTTCGGGAATGGTCTTCCCAACCCTAACCTCAACCTTACTGAAAATTTGTGGATTACACTTAAAACCGGGTCTATGCTAGGAAACTCACCGATTTGAACTCTACCAATTCTGTCCAGGAGATGGTCAAATATCCAGCCATAATTACTCCAGAATCTTGTTGACAGCAACCAAAAATGTCACCCTGAGGTGTAACTTACAAAGGGACGTTTGACCAAATATTAGTGGACACGTATTTATATGTTTGACCCTGTTTTGATTAGAGAAAATCCAAAATAAATTCATCCTGTGCACCCAATTCTTATTTTTTAAAGTGACTCAGTATGTATGCTGTACAATCATTTCATCCTTGAAAACGATGACTTTGTCACGGCCGAGGCCGCCTCAAAGGTGAAAGGACTCAAATGCAAGACGCCGAACAGCACGTAAGTAGTTTTAGAGACTATGTTTATTTACTCAGTAAGTGTTCATAAACTGGAAAGTGAGGTTAACAAGTGCGAAGTGCCACAACTGAATCAAAGGGGTCTTAAGCAGCCTGGGCTAAGTAAGTAATCTGGTCTTGGTCAGTGGAAACAGCAGCTCCGGGGATTGGGCTGGAGGGAGAGTCACACTGGGTCCAGGGAAAGGGTCAGAGTCACTGTAAATAGAGTACAGACGTTCAGGTATGGTTCAGGAGAAATATGGATAAGCTGTTCGTTCTGAATCTTCCTTCGTACTGCGTACTTGCCGCGGGTGGTCGGTGGTGACGTGGAGGGGTGAGTGGTCTGAAAGTCCTGGCGTGGAGACAGGGAGGCAGGCAGGTGG